GAAGTGGTTGAGTTAAAGTGCAGGGAGACCATTCCATCCTTTACCTCTGGCCTATTCTCAGATTGGCCCCATGTACTCTGGGTGGTTACTGCATGGTCTCTATCAGTAGGGATATAAGAAGGCATCGTTTTCTGTTCTGCCCTGTTTTGGTCACATGCAGCCCTGTTTCTGTTTTGCTGCAGTTCGCCTCCTGCCAAAAACAACAGGTGGTATTCAACTAACTCCCATGCAGAACAGACCCATTAAAAATAATGGACATAACCAAATTGGGTTCATTAACTTCAGTGGATCTGTTCCGAGCAGAATACCACCCAACGCTACTTGTCTCGCCGTCAAGTGTTGCAAAAAGTATGCAACAAATTCCATAAATTACGTTATCGTTGTGCTACTCCACCTGTTTCTATATAAAAGAAATGAAATGGGGAGGGGAGATACTCACTTACGTATCTGCAACAGCAGCAGAAATAAATAAATAAATAAATAAATAAATACAGTGGTACCTCGGGTTAAGAACTTGATTCATTTTGGAGGTCTGTTCTTAACCTGAGGTACCACTTTAGCTAATGGGGCCTCCCACTGCTGCTGCTGCCGTCGCACCACCGCCGCACAATTTCTGTTCTTATCCTGAAGCAAAGTTCTTAACCTGAGGTACTATTTCTGGGTTAGCAGAGTCTGTGACCTGAAGCGTCTGTAACCTGAGGTACCACTGTAAGTAAGTAAGTAAGTAAGTAAGTAAATATTGTCCAGTAGCACCTTAGAGACCAACTAAGTTTGTTCTGGGTATAAGCTTTCATGCGCATGCACACTTCTTCAGATACACCTGAATACAGAATACTGGTTGTATTTGCTAGACTGATTTCCATTTCAGACACGGGACAAAAAAGCAAGCACCAGCAATTTCCACTCCCATTTCTGTTTTCGTTGGAATTCTCTGACACGCCTATCTGCCAGGGGTGGTGGTGTCCCAGACTGTGCCTTGATGCTGTGGCCAAACTCCAAGAATCTCAGCCCCTTCCAAGCCTACAATTCATAGCCAACTCTTCACTGTCTGCCACATAATATCACTTTACCAGTGCGTTATCTCCAGAGGAAGGGAGAGAGGTCCGTATGGCGCAGGCATCCATTCCTCTTCATCTTGGATTTAAAGCCAAGATTATTTATCCTGCAAGGGATGGTGCTAATGGAGCTGCGTGTTGAGACCAATTAATTCTCTCAGTGTTCGTGGAAAACCCATTGCAAAGTCAAAACATACAGGCTCATTAACATTTTCTCTTCATTATCCAAGAGTCATTTGTGCTAATAGTAACAAAGTGGAAAGAAAATATTTGTAGCCTCTTGCTTGTGCTAATAGTGTCTCTGGCTAGTGTTTCTTGATTGTGCTACTAGTGAGCTGATCATGCCGGCTCTCCATAAATTAATGACCATCTCATTAAGCAACAATAATAGCCTGTAAGCAACTGTATCCATGCAATTAGTGCCCCAAAGCTTCAGTGGCTGTAACTCCCTGTGGGCAATATTTTCTTTCCCCAGTGACACTAGTCTCGCCTACTAGTCAGTAAAGGACCATTACGTTTCCCCGCTAAGAATGTTTGAAGAACATCATCATCATCATCTGTTTATAGTATGCCACACTTGGCACCCCAAGCAGCTCACATCCTACCAAGCATTTTTAAAAGAAACAATTGGAAGGAATTGCAATATCAATAAGTTAATACAGAAATAATCGATCCCTGCAACATCGTATAAAACAGTGCCAATAACCTAACCTCATTTAACAGCTGAAACTAAACAGGAGAGAGAATAATACCCAAATAAATATAGAACAGCAGCGCACCACAGAGCACATTGTTCCGGACGATACACCTAGATACAATAGTTTGGATTCAGGACTGAATCTCCAAACATCCAAAGACCCCCACTGCCTTCTGGATAGTTGCCCTGCCCTGTGGAAAGCCCTTCTGGCAGGTGTCAAAGAGATACGGTTTTCTGCAGATATCTGAAGGCAGTCCTGTTTCAAGAAACTCTTAATACAGTGGTACCTCGGGTTACATACGCTTCAGGTTACATACGCTTCAGGTTACAGACTCCACTAACCCAGAAATAGTACCTCGGGTTAAGAACTTTGCTTCAGGATGAGAACAGAAATCGCGCAGTGGTGGTGCGGTGGCAGCAGGAGGCCCCCATTAGCTAAAGTGTTGCTTCAGGTTAAGAACAGTTTCAGGTTAAGAACGGAGCTCCGGAACAAATTAAGTACTTAACCCGAGGTACCACTGTATTTGATGTTTTGGTAATTTGGTGTGTTTATACTTTGTTGGAAGCCATCCAAAGTGACTGGGGCAACCCAGTCAGATGGGTAGGGTACAAGAAATGTCGTCGTCGTCTTCTTCTTCTTCTTCTTCTTCTTCTTCTTCTTCTTCTTCTTCTTCTTCTTCGATTGTCACATGGAAGATGGAGCATGCTTGTTTCCTGCTGCTCCAGAGGGCAGAACCCCCGAACCAATGGATTCAAACTACAAGAAAGGAGATTCTGACTAAACATTAGGAAGAACTTTCTGAAGGTGACAACTGTTCAACTGTGGAACAGACAACCTTGGAAGGTTGTGGAAGTTTCTAAGCAGAGGTTGGATGGCCATCTTTCAGGAATTCTTTAGCTGAGATTCCTGCATTGCAGGGAGTTGGACTAGTGAGACTTGAGGTCCCAATTCAACAACTCTATAATTCTAAATTGATGGCCATCACTGTCTCCTGTGGGAGCCAGCCCCATGGCTTAGCTTGACTCACTCTGGTCACCTTGGGCAGAAGAGACTTTGCTGCTCATGTGGCTGGTCTTCTTGCAGTTTCCTCCTTTGGCCAGAGCTGTGTGGTGGTGCACAGACTGGATTACCCCTGCCTTGTATCCTTCCCACTGCTGGTTCAAGGCCAGCCAGTCATGTCCTGGTCAAAGGTCCCCAGGGGGATTTGCCTGCAGCTGCGCACTTATCTCGGGCATCACTTTTGTTGTTGTTGTTGATATTGTACTTTCCTCACTTTTTCTGCAGCAGCAAGGACAAATGCAAATCTGCCACATATTCCAATTATAGCCGAAGTCACTTAAGTGTTTTGCAGTTCACAGTTTTACGCTTTTGACTTCCATATATATATATATATATATATATATATATATATATATATATGGTGTGTTTCCTGTAATTATTACAACTCTCTGGTTTAATTCTAGCTGAGGCTTTAATGGGACTCATTCTGACAAGATATAGGATCCTGTCCTGATAGATCCTCATTTGGAAACAGGCCATTTGCAATTACCAGTGTGCAGAGCCTGTGTAAGATTAAAAGCACAGCCAGGATAATTTCTTCCTTGTGTCCCAGGCTCTGAGGATTTGTTACTCATCCTGGCTGTCCATCTGGGGAGCAAACAGCATGTACTCCTTGATGAGAAACTCTGGCCAACCGACCAGCTGTGAAAAAAATAGATTACTCTTGTCATTTTTTTCTCCTAGGTAATTTGCCGGGAGTAAAAATATAATTTCTTTGAAGGTATGCAGTTAAAAGAAAACCAGAGGGAGAGGGCTGATTTATATTTAAAAGTTCACTACACTTTTATTTGCTAAATCTCATTTTTAGAGCTATATGCCACCCTCGGAATAATATTTCCTGTCATTTAGGTCAGTGCGAAAGAAAGAGGGGGGGGAGCAGATTTTTCTGTTCTTTGAAGACTTTGGAGGTGATCTTTTTAAACTACGAAAAATTCAGTACAAAAACTCCGCCGTGATTGTTAAGGGGAAAAAGGGTTCCTTGTCAACGCACCAGCGCACTTGATAAAGGTAAAACAGGCATTATTAAAAAGGGATTAAGGAAATGGCGGAGGAGAACACGACTGGCCCGCTGTGTCCAAAAAACTGAAATGATAGATTAGCCTCTTATGTGACAGCATTTAGGTAATTCTGTGTGTAAAATTCAGGCGGTCTAGGAAGCGGGGGTTAAGTGCAGGCAGCTGACCCAGAGCCATTGCTCAAAGAAGAGAAATGCAAATCGGATGGGAGACGGTTGCGATATAATATGCTAACGAAAGTGGGTGGTTTTTAATGCACACATAGTGCTAAAATATAGCCGTTGCAAGGTCCATTTCCCATGTATCTGGGACAAATGCAGGTGAATGGATACTAAGCCTGAACATGTAAGCAAGTGCTAAGCTGATCATCTGTAGCAATGGGTCAAAGCAGCGAGGAGAATATTCTTACTTCTCTGCATCCGTGCATTTGTCTGACCTGGTAAAAAATATTTGGTAAAATTCTCTCAGCCGTGTGGCATTGACATTCTTGACAGCCAGCTTCCTTCTGAGGGGCTGGGGCTGGTAATCCTTGTGGGGTCTCAGCAGAAGAGGGAAGAGGAGTTTAATCCTTTCCTCACAGGTGATGGTCCCAATGAAAATAGATTATAAAGAAACCTTCTCCTAACCTGCTGCCCTCCAGATGTTGCTGACAACAACCCTCATCATACCCAGCAAGCGTGGGCAGATATCAGAAACAATGGGAGCTGTAGTGCAGCAACATCTGGAGGGCACCACCAGGTGTCATGATCTGGCTTGGGTGCAAAGGAGTGGTGGGAGGCACTGTTGGGATGTCTCCAAGGAAATGGGGGCAATTGGCAGGCCCCCAGCTGGCTCCAGCCCACTGGCCGGCAGCTGGGCGATCTCCAGTCCTTGGATCAGCATGTAACTGCGACTTGAGCTTCAGAAACCTTCAGAAGCTGAGCACGTACTAATCAGCAGAGTAAAGAACTCTTCGCAACAGAAGGGCAGATAGAGGCTGTGTAAAGAGTATTTACAGGCATTTTATTCAGCATCAGAACAAAGGGGAAAACATGTCTTCTCCTCTTCGTGTCCAAGCAAGCAGCATAAGCAAAAACTATACACACAACAGAAGTTCCCAGCAACTGGAATGTAAACAGACATATGACATACAACAACTCCACACATCTGTTAAGGTGGAACGGAATATCGTAACAGGCACTAGCTGGGGAACTACCAAAAGAAGGAGGCTCAGACTCAGGGGATTGCTGGTGGGATGACGATGGCTGGTCAGAGGGAGAAGGCTGGGAAGAGGAGGTGTTGGAAGCTGAAGAGGTAACAGGGTTTAGTGAGTAAGAGGAGGCTGTGACAGAGAACAGTCCGGACTCAGAGGCAGAAGCAGAGGCTGGAGGTGGGCCAAGAGGCAGAGATGAGGCAGGCTACCCTCCCCCCTTGTATCCCTGAACCCACAGAGGTATGAAGAGGGCGGAACAAAGACAAACCAGGCAAAGGAGTATTTGGTTGCTTGGGAAGGACCCAGGGGAGGAGAAGACTCGGGGAGCTGCGGGGAAGTGGGAACCTTCAGTCCTCACAACTGCCTCATTGGGGCAAGACCTGCTGGGAAGAGTTGTTGCGCTCACTAGGCCTGAGCTGTTTGGCTTCTTTGAACAGAGTTAACTTTACTTGTGAGTTATTCCTGGCCTGCTCCTGACTCCCACCTTGACACCAGGTCGAAGAAGACTGGATTAAAAAAAAGGTCCTATTTTTTCTCCCACACCTCAATCTTTCCTCCCAGAGAAGAGAAGAGTTTGGATTTGATATCCCGCTTTATCACTACCCGAAGGAGTCTCAAAGCGGCTAACATTCTCCTTTCCCTTCCTCCCCCACAACAAACACTCTGTGAGGTGAGTGAGGCTGAGAGACTTCAAAGAAGTGTGACTAGCCCAAGGTCACCCAGCAGCTGCATGTGGAGGAGCGGGGACGCGAACCCGGTTCACCAGATTACGAGTCCACTGCTCTTAACCACTACACCACATGCAATGTGACACAAACAATATAAGGGGTTCAACAGCCAGGCATGAGCAGAGCTTCAAACCTTAGTGGGAAGAATAAAGCTACAGCTGGCCTGCCCCAACCTGGCCTGGCTGACAGAGGTTACTTGCGATTTACAACTCCTGACACTATCTGATCTTTCCAGCTTGAAGCATCAGTACTCTCTGGTTCACCCCACCACCCACCGCTTCTCCCCCTTCTCATCTCTAGCATGCTGGAAGAGCTGCAGATGCAACTCCACAGTCCTCGCTGCCTGGCAAGATCTCCGACAACACCTTCACTGTCAAAAGGGGACAATCGCAGGGTGCCCACGCTACAAGGCAGTGTTGAGATAACTTCCCCCTGTGATGTCAAAGACAGAACATCTCCAAGGAGTCGGGGCGATGCAGAGGCTGATGACTGATCCAGTGTAAGCCATCTAAAAATATTCACAGAGCTTTTATTCCACAGAAGATATGACCTTGTATTTTTTTTTCAGAGAGAGAGAGATAGAGAGAGAGAGAGAGAGAGAGGCTTTATCTCTCTTAAGCCAAAGAGTGAAATATGTATCAGCCGAGATTCCTGCATTGCAGGGGGTTGGACTAGGTGACCCTTGGGTCACTTCCAACTCTAAGATTCTATGATTTTGTGACATAAAAAAAATTATTTAGCCAGGTTCTCCCATTCTAAAGATCCATTACTGCAATTAACAATTTTATCTCCCCAACCCTGTCCAGTGATATTTAGACATTCAAATTAAGTGAAAGTCTCATGCCACAATAATAGAAAAGGCAACAGAGAATGATGACTCTCGCCCTAGATGTTCAGTTATCAGCATAAGAAAACTTCTTCCTCTGGGTTCCTTTCCCTTGAAATAAAGGCCACTGGAGGCTTCTGGAGGAGTTGTTGGATGGTTTTTTACCATGGTAACTCAAAACTAGCTACAATATACAGTATAAACAAAGTAAAACTGCATATGGGGTGCTAGGGGAAGAAGAAGAAGAAGAAGAAGAAGAAGAAGAAGAAGAAGAAGAAGAAGAAGAAGAAGAAGAAGAAGAGTTTGGATTTGATATCCCACTTTATCACTACCCTAAGGAGTCTCAAAGCGGCTAACATTCTCCTTTCCCTTCCTCCCCCACAACAAACACTCTGTGAGGTGAGTGAGGCTGAGAGACTCACCCAAGGTCACCCAGCAGCTGCATGTGGAGGAGAGGAGACACGAACCCAGTTCACCAGATTATGAGTCTACCGCTCTTAACCACTACACCACACTGGCTCTCTAGGGGAGAACTAGTACCTCTGGTGGGGGGCACATTGTGTTCCTTCTGAGGTAGTTTGTCCACTTCTGGTCCCCACCCTGCACTCAGCTCTCACCTGTGGCTCCTAGGTGTCAGCAGGTGACAGCGGTCACCACCCAGAAATGGCTTTGACTGGCTGGCTAAGGAGGCATCGCACCCCAAAATATGCTCCAAGCTCAGCTCCTCTTTTCCCTGCCCGACACTCTTTGCAACTTTCCAGCTAGCAGAAGAAGTGTTCAGCTAGGTAGAAATCTGCTTAATAAGGAAAAGTGCTTGATTACTTTACCAGAACCACTAAGGTGATCTCTGGCAGCCCCCTGGTTTGGACAGTTTGGCAAAGCTCAGCCAGTGTTATAATCAAGAATCACAGGACCCTGGGCTTAGTGGGCCTTGTAGTTCTGTGAGGAGAATAGGGGCATCCTAGCAACTCCCAGTACCCTGAAGAAACTACAGTTCCCAGAATTCTTTGGGGGAAGCCATGTCTGTTTAAAGTGACATCATCCTGTTTTCTATGCATGGTGTGGATGTTGTCTGAATCACAGCGTAAGATGACACAATCCACACCTTTTGCCATATTATTCACTTGCTTCCTGAATATTTTTCTTTCGGAATGAGAAAAAGCTCGCCCAGATTCATGTAATCAGAAAGGGCCAGTGGATTCTGCAAACCGTTGTCTCCCTCAGGAATGGCAGTGTGAGTTCTGCCTCACACCTCATTTCCAGTTCATTAGACAAAGAGAAGTCCCTAGGTGTCTAGACGTTATCCAAAACTTATGCTAGGAGGTTGTGCTGCAGGTGGACGTGCTGAATGGTTGATGTTATTTCCTCACAAGGAGGCCACATCCCTGCCACATCTGTTCCCATGGTGGGTCCCGATGCAGCTCCTTCGCCAGATGTTAAGTGTCAGCAAAGAAGGCAGGCAAAGAGCCAGAATCAAGCCCAGATGCTGCTGTTGGGATGGTTCCAGAATTCGGCATCTGGATCCTGCTCTTGCCAAACATGCACCATCTGTAGAAAAAGTGATAAATGTTTTCTCTTGAAGTAGAAGCAGCAATGGGAGGACTGAAGAGGAAGTCAATAAAAGTTTTTTTTTCCCCCAGCTAAAACTAAATCTTGCTTGCCAGCCCCCAAAAATTCCTCTGCAAATGTTGATGTCGAATACGCCTCAGATGTTCTTTGAATACTCGGTCATTTGCCAAACACTGACTTGGGTGTTTTGGGGTCTGATAAAGCTTTGATAATGGGGTTTAAAATATTTGCTCTTTGAGAAGGTTAGGAGTGAGACAACAGTGACAGGAACACTGAGAGGGAGAGGGAGAGGCAGCCATTGTTCCCCTCGGCCTTGCCTTCTGGCAGCTGTGGAGATGGGGGACAGAGGGATGAGACCTGCGGAAATAATACGTGACTTCAGAGGCGTGTGGCCTGAGGAGATTCCTGAGGATCAGACACAAAGAGAGGCCTGAAGGTCTGCATTTGGCCCCCAGGGCTGCGGTTCCCCACTCCTGTGATATGTATGACTAACAGCGTGTGACTACATAGGCAGATCAATATTTTTAAAACAAAAAAACACACCCAAGAAGTGTAGGTGGTGCTTTCTAGCATTCAGTAAAGAGAGTGGACTTCTCTCATTTATTCATTCTCCAGAACTGCTAACACTTTGCTATGCTATTACCTCAAGACAGCAGTAAAATGGTTCTCCTTCTTAATAATATTTACAGAGCAATTTCAAGTGTTCAGAAATTACCTTGTTATGATTATTAACAACAGAAGCAACAACAACCCCGTAAGGTATTATTCCTTAATTCCCAATTTGCATTATTTCATGGTAGGGCTCTTTTGTAATATTGATGAGATTTTTCTTGATAGATACCGAAATTACGTTGCATTTGGTTGTTGTATCTCGATGCGCGTCGATGTTTTGTATGTGATTTGTTTTGGTGCTTGTCTCGTCGATGTACTTATGCACATTGTTGTGAGATCTTTTTTGTTGCCTAGTTGTGTTACTTACAAGGTGGAATGCGTTGTTATTGTTAGCAGTGGTATTAGGTGTGGATTTTGTGTTCCAGCTTGTTTATACTGTTTTTTTGTTGAGATATGTAAACCGCTTAGATATTTCTGTCGATAGATTAAGTGGTACGCAAGTTAAATAAAACAACAACAACAACAATGGGGGTGCATAAAGAATGTGGTTGCCCCCAGTAATTGATGGAACCTGCAAATCAGTTGTGCTATGAACTGCAACTCAAGAAGCAGTGGAGGCAGGTCCATGAGGGCGAATGAGGCACTGCCCTACCTCAGTCCTTAGCCAATCCCCCCCTGCCTGCCTTCTTTCTTACATCCAGGCCAAGGGGTGGTGTTACCTGTCAGTTTCCTCCTCCTTCGTCTCATTGTTGCCCCTTGTAGAAGTCAGCAGAGAGGAGGATGGGGGAGAAACTAGAACTGGTCTGTCATTGGCTTTGGCGCCACCTACTGTTGGGCTCCCTGCCTGCTGCCCTATCAATCCCAATGGGCACCAGCCACCACCAGCTACTGCCAATATATGAACAGGGGAGTTTTCTCTTCCCTTTCTTCCTCCTGTCTCTCTCCTCCTCGACATATGTGCTGTTTGCAGTGAGGCTTCACCAACCCCAAGCACAATGCGGTTGTTACGTGATCCTTTATTCACGCCGTTTTTATGGGAAGCAGCTAAAAGCAAGTAGAGCCTGCAGAAGAAATTCTAAGAGAGGGTAACTTTGAATCCAGTCCTATTTATAAAAAGAGATGGGGAAGCAAAGAAAGCAATAAAATACCCTGGCTTTCCACTCTCATATCCAAGGGTTTTGTGCAGTCACCTATTGCAGCAATATCTGAACACCTTAAAGGCAAAACAGATTGGAAGTAATGAGGTCTCTATTAGAGCTCCTTGTGTTGGGATATAGAAAATCCTGCTCAGGGCAAAATCCTCACCTGAAACCGAGGCGGCTGCTTTATAAATCAGCCGTTCAAAACGTCGGCAGTGGCGCTACAATTAACTAACAGTTAACATTTTTGTGCCGTTACCCTGGAAAATTGTAATTACTTTAAGCTTTTAAGAGAGGCACACATGCCCTCCACATTCAGAAGAAGAAGAAGAAGAAGAAGAAGAAGAAGAAGAAGAAGAAAGAAGAAGAAAATGAGGTTGGGGAGAAAGGGATGAAGCAAGAAGAGGCAGGTCTGTAGGCAGGCAAATATTCTCCATTCCACGCCGAGTGGAGGAAGCCAGGAAAAATCCTTCCTCACGTTTCACAGCGAGTGGCCAGAGTTAGTCAAAGGATTTGTAAAGAGGAGGTCACACTCCGAGAAATCTTTTGTGAGGCCTACAATAGAGAACTCTCTCAGGAGTGAAGCCTGGAAATTCAATGCAGTTGAACTTCAAGAAGGCTTTTTGTTGAGCGCCCCTTAAGACGGGGATAGAAGGTGAACTGGGATGGTATTGATAGTACAATCCCTAATTGGACTCAGCGCTGCATCCAAGGGCAGCAGTTAGAGGGAGATGGATGCAATTTAGGAGACTGGAGAGCAGAGATAAGCGGAACAATGCACGGAGCCCAGCGCTGGGCCTGCTGCTCATGCTAGGTATGCCTTAGGCCATGTTCCCACCACACACTTAAAGCACTATGATGCCACTTTAAACCACCATTGCTTCACTGAAAAGGATTGTGGGAGCTGTAGTTTGTTAAGCTGCAGTTTGGGGTGTGTGGAGCGCTAGGGGAGAGCTAGTACCTTTGGTGGTGAATGTGTTGTGCTCCTTCTAGGGTAGTTTGTCCACTTTTGGTCCCCACCCTGCACTCAGCTCTCACCTGTTGGCTCCTAGAAGCGGTCAGCGTGTGCAGCGGCCACACACCCTGGGGAACAGCTTGAACTGGCTGGCTAAACCAGGTGAGGGTAGCCAATGGGTCTCAAAAACCCTCAGTGAGTTGAGGACGTCCCCCTCCATGCGAAGACAGCCTCCAGTGGATTGAGCGGACAAGACCAGGAGTGGGTCCAACGGTCAAGAAAGTGGTTTCTGCATGTGCTGTAAGAAGTGAGGGCAGATGTTGCTCATCAGCCTTCGAAGGTAGCGCCTCTAAAAGAAGGAAAACTCTGGTCCTAAACCTCTGCTGCCTTGTGGGATGTCTTTGAGAGAATAAATGGCTAAGGAGTAAACACAATCTGGAGTGGCGTCCCTAAGACAGTTGGATGGCGCCTTGTACGCCTCCTTCCAGCAATTCCTGCAGCCAAGCTGGTGCCAAATGTATTGCTCTGCAGCCCAGGACTTCCATACATACTTCCCAGACTTGCGCCCTGGAGAGATTACTCCAGTTTTGCTAACGCAGCGGTTTGACTTCCTCCCCGGAGGTGCAATCCATTGTCTCTTGAGAGAGGCGGATGCCAAGAACCGTGACAAGAAGTTTGTTAAGAGAGCCGAAAGTTGTAAGGAGGGCCCCATTCCCCTCACAGGGTGACAATTCCCAAAGTTCCCTGGGAGGAGAGAAAGATTGTTAAACCAATAGCAGCAACATCTGAAGGGCGCCATTTTGGCTAACACTGTTTTACACCAATGGCCTGTGCAATAGATTCTATCCAGATTGGGGCCCTAGCTTGAGGGGTTGGAGCCTTTAACCCTTAATGTGCTCCAAATCAATCCCCCCACACACACACGCATAGGCAATTTGCACTGGAACTGGGCAGGGGAGAAAGAGTTTCCCAACCTATTTGCTTTTCCCGCAACAGGTTAAAAATGCATGGTTCTAGTTCTAATAGCACAAGGATGGAAGACTGAAGAAACCCTAACTAAAGAATCATGGCAAGAAAAATTGATGGACTATGCAGAACTGGCAAAATTGACATATAAGCTATGGGACAAGGATAACTGTGACTTTAAAGATGAATGGGAACCCTTTACAAAGCATTTGAAGACGCAACAAAGCAAACTGGACTCCTTGGCTGGCTTTGAATGAACATTCACAAACTTTTTTATTGATGATAATCAGCTAAATATTTTGAGGATATATACAACTGTGTAACATGCAGAAAACAGCATTCTTAGAGAAATCAAAGACTGGAACTGAGGGAAGCTGGGGGGGTGGGGGGGTTTGTGTGGGAGGGTGGAGGGAGCGAGGAAAAATGGGGGTGGGGAAATAAAAATGATATGTTTCTGGATAATATGTTTTGTTTTAATTTTGAATAAAAAAAGTGTTTTTTTTAAAGTTCATGGTTCTGTTTTTTTCCAGGTAAAGAACTCATTTGCACCACAAACAAACCTCCTCTCTGCTATGAAAAGGCAGTGTGCCCTCTCCACCCCACCCCCTGCCCCAGGGCAAAGTCATGAAAACAGCCGGCCTATTGCCCCGAGGGTGGAATTTGCCACTCTAAATTATAAAGAGCCAGGTTGGTTGGTAGAAATGGGGAATATTTCTCCCTCAGCCACTTTGTGAGTAGTTTCAAGATACTGCTTGGCAGAGGTGAATCTTTATAAAGTGGAAATCAGCAAGCTGTGTGCTTAACACAGGCGTGGGAGGTCCAAGCCAGCAAGAAAGAGATTTCATTAAGGTAGCAAAGTCCTTTAATCGACTGGCCCAGTTTTTTTTGAAAAGCCTAAGAACAAACAGTGAAAAGTTACTGGGGATGTTGATGCCAAGTGTTGGGATCAGATGACCATGTGGATGATGCTTTCAGGTCAAGGCCAGAAGAATAACATGAGCACTTAGGCATACTGTCTGCTTATAACAAGCCACTCACAAGGTTTGGTTTCTTCACAAGCACATTCTGTGCTTGGACCAAAAACAGGCCCTCATTGCTGAAACTCCACAGCCAGCTCTTGCAAATTTCACCTGAATCTAGTTGAATTCAGCTTCTTACAGCGGTGCCCACAAAGCTATTGTACTACCAACCTTACTGTACGCTTGTGAAACATGGACCACTTATAAACACCATCTCCAACTCCTCGAAAGATTCCATCAACGGTGTCTCCGAAAAATTTCACACATCACTTGGGAAGACAGGCGAACTAATATCAGTGTACTGGAAGAAGCAAAGGTCACCAGTGTTGAAGCAATGATTCTTCAACATCAACTTCGTTGGACTGGTCATGTTGAGCAGTTGCCTGATTATTGTCTTCCAAAGCAACTACTCTATTCCGAACTTAAAGATGGAAAGCATAATGCTGGTGGTCAACAAAAGAGGTTTAAAGACTGTCTCAAGGCAAATCTTTAAAAATGTAGTAGTTGTTGTCGTTGTTGTTTAGTCGTTTAGTCATGTCCAACTCTTCGTGACCCCATGGACCAGAGCACACCAGGCACTCCTGTCTTCCACAGACAGGATTATACTACAAAAATGTAGTATAAACCAACAATTGGGAAACACTGTCCTGCGAACGCTCCAACTGGAAAACAGCCTTTACCAAAGGTGTCATGGACTTTGAAGACACTCAAACTCAGGATGAAAGGGAGAAACATGCTAAGAGGAAAGCACACTTGGCAAACCCTGTCATGTGACAAAGACACATGAGAGCAGAAGCAGCAAAGCAGGTTGGGAAGTGCTGGGACTGCACAGTCATTTGGGCCTACTAAAGTTATTCAGGCCTAACTGCTAACTGTTGAGTCACTCTGACATGTGACTTAGCAGCCAGTTTCTCTCTGTGCTCTCTGTAAGTTTTCAGTTGGAATCAGTCTGCCTCAGCTGGGAGCAGAGTCAGTATGTAATCTCAGTCAAACTGTTTGGAACCATGTTGTTTATGTAGAAGTTTATTTTAATTCAGTAAAGCTCTTATTCTTTCAATTAAAAACTCTGCATTATTAATTTACGCTGCGTGTCAAACCCTCACCATGATCAACTCCTGCCCAGAAACCTATGTCCCCACTGTGGGAAGATGTGTGGATCCAGAATTGGCCTCCACAGTTGCTTACAGACTCACTGTTAAGACTGTGTTACTGGAAGACAATCTTACTTGGCTACAAGTGATCGCCAAAGAAGAAGACGACATAGGAAGTTGCCTTATACGGAGTCAGACCATTGGTTCATCTGGTTCAGTATTGCCTACCCCCATTGGTCTTCAGCTGGCAGGATGGGACCCGATCTAAGATGTGTTACAAAAGCAGCACTACCACCATACAAATATAAGGCATAGTGCGAATTTGGCCACAGTCTGCCTTACGTTCTGAACCTTGAGTAGTGGTTGAACTGAAGTACCGCAGTGCTTCCTGGGGAAATCCCTGGTTCAGTTCACACATTGGCTATGACCTAATTATTCTGAAGCAGCTTCCCACGTTCCTTACTGAGATATGAGAAGTGGTTTGAGTGCTCTCATGTGAACAACGACAACAACGCTGCTTTAATTTCTGAAGCTTCTTATCGCCTCAGTGACCTGAGGTTTGTTTTGTCTTAAAGCGAACAGAGATTTATTTCAAGGGAGGGGTGTTTGTGATTTTGATGGTGACAATGATTTGGAGACCGGAGGCCTTGTGTTATTTCCTGTCCCGCTACGGTGCTTTATTGGCACCAATGGGTGCTAACGCAACCCTACCGAGTTTCCAATGCTGAAAGGCGAAGATTTATATACACTAATGAAAAGTCAAAGTCGCTTTTATGACAAGTCACTGGCGTGATGCGTTGCCAGGGGATGGCGTTTGCTGATTAGCGGCGGCGGCAGTGGCGGCACCGTAATGCATTGCTGGCAAAGGGCTGAGCACTAGTAATTTCATCCTTTAATAGGAGATCAGGGCTGCATTTCTGTGTATCAGCCAGGGTGAGATTAATGCTTTCTGATGTCAGGCTAGCGCACACAGGAGGGGGCCTTCCATTAATGGAAGCATTAACTAACGTTTGCAACATGATGGGCTCACAATCAGAAATTCTCCCGTCTCTTTAACTAAGGGGGGCTTGGAATACAATAGATAATAAAATGACATTCTGTTTAATCCGTTCACCAACAATTTGAAGCCACGACCTTGTTGTTTACAGCTGTGGGTGGGTGTGCGAGATAGGCTGCGGAGATCTGCAAGTATAAGTAGCTGTGTGTGGGAGGTTGCATGGACCGAAATAGTTGCATTTGGGTTTGCTTGTTTTTAGCAAGGCTGTTTTAAAACCATAAGCTTTGTCTTCTCACAGGTGCCGAAATTCCAGCAGCAGCTGGAACTCATTCAGATTGGTAGGGCAGAAGGCAAAGGGACCAGTGGCAGTTGGAGGCAGAGCCATTGATGGGAACATGTATTAAGGAAAACCAAAGAGACGCCATTTTGTCTCAGACACCAGGCATTAGCAAGAGACCCTCACCTTGCATCGAACAGCAGACTTTAGCAAGGCCCTCTGAGTGCCCCAGCTCCAGAAGACTAGGGATTCTCTTGCAAGATCTCGTGAGAACTCAGGTGGTCCCATGAAATCTCATGAAACATCCCAGAACCTGCACACTGAGAGGCCCTTGTCCCCCAAACAAGACAGAGGGCTTAAAAGTTCTTTGGGAGCTGGTTCCACTGGGACAAACCAGTCTGTCTGTTGTAGGCATTAGAAGGGACTTGGCATACAGCCTACACCTCCCCAAACTCACAACAATTTGTATGTTTATAGTCCTACATGCTGCAAGTACTGCAGTCCAAAATTCTTCCACTCTTGCTCTCTCGCACATTTTCCAAGAAACTTTTTTTTCCTAGAACAAAACCACTTGCTCAGTACTTTTACTGTAAAAAATAAATAAAAAGAGAGGAAATTCTAGCTAAACAGCAGCAAGCAGATTGTTCAGATTATTGTCATGCAGCCACTTTTAGCTGTGTTATATATCAAAGTTATAGCAATTTATTTGGCAGGGGCTGTGGGTAGGGATGGAGGAAGTATTCCTTTGGTATGCTGCCTGAAGCAGTCTGATCCAATTTAATGGTCCTGAATATGCTTGCAGATCAGAATTCAACTCCTGACTGGATTATGCCCTTCTCAGGATTTCGCAGCACAGTTTTGGTGTACAGAATGTGCATGCAAAAACATGTGTTTTATCGTTAAAATGCATATGATATGCATTTGTTTAATGGGAAAGTGCAGGTGTACCTTGGAAGTCGAACAGAATCTGTTCTGGAAGTCCGTTTGACTTCCAAAATGTTCCAAAACCAAAGCATGGCTTCCGATTGGCTGCAGGAAGCTCCTGCAGCCAATCAGAAGCCGCAGACCCCCGCCAGACGTTTGGTTTCCAAAAATAGTTCTCAAACCGGAACAGTCACTTCCGGGTTTGCGGCATTCGGGAGCCAAAACGTTCAGGAACTAAGCTGTTCAGAAACCAAGGTATGACTTTTAAATTTGCAGAAATATGTACAGAAATTTGGAGAAATTTTCAGAAATATGTGCAAAAAAAATGCACAAAATTATGCATATCAGGATGTATGTACCGTATTTTTCGCTCTATAGAACGCACTTTTTCCCCTGCAAAAATTAAGGGGAAATGTGTGTGCGTCCTATAGAGCGAATGCAAGCTGTGCAGCTAAGCCCAAAGCCAGAACAGGGAGACGGAGCGCTGTGCAGCGCTTGGTCTCGCTGTTCTAGCTTGGGGTTAGCTGCACAAAGCCTCCACAGGGCAGCGGGGTGAAGGCACCCCGCTGCCCTGCGGAGGCTTCGCGCAGCCATCCCCAAGGGTGTGCCTTCAGCGGGGTGACTATCCCTGAAGCCTTTGGAGTGCAGCTGGACCTCACACTGCGCTCCAAAGGCTTCGGGTTCCTTTTCCTGAAGCCGGGAGAGCAAGACTCTCCTGGCTTCAGCGAAAGGAACCCGAAGCCTTTGGAGCGCAGTGCGAGGTCCCGCTGTGCTCCAAAGGCTTCAGGGATCTTTGAGGCTGGCAGTGGGGGAAAGCAGCGCTTCCCCCCACCGCCAGCCCCACAAGCTCGGGGGGCAGCGGCAAGGCTACGCACAGCCTTTGCGCTGCTCCCCGACCTGGTCTTTGGGGCTGGCGGTGGGGGAAAGCAGTGCTTCTCCCCACCAGCCCCAAAGAGCAGGTCGAAAGGAACCTGAAGCCTCCGGAGCCCAGCGGGAACTCCCGCCACACTCCAGAGGCTTCGGGTTGCCTTCACTGAAGCCTGGAGAGCGAGAGGGGTCAGTGCGCACTGACCCCTCTCACTCTCCAAGCTTCCAAGGTAGTCGCCTGAAGCCTGATGTCCTGCTGCGCTCCTGAGCTTTGGGTGAATGCACCTTGAACGCACCTTGTTTTAGAGGGGGAGAACAAGAAAAAAAAAATCCTGTTCTCCCCCTCCTATGGTCCGGTGCGTCCTATAGAGCAAAAAATATGGTATTTCATGCATTCTCTCAAAAAGATCCACACGATACAGAACAGACAAGTGCCGGTGAAAATCAAATGGGACAGACTTAGGCCCATCTATCTATTCCCTTGCTACAGAACGCTAGAAGAGTGTATTTGTGAGACAGAGACAGGCAGCACACAGGTATGTGTGTATTTGATTTGGGTTCCTTCTGATCTATTTCTGATCTGCCTGTTCCTCCTTTTCTGCTACTTTCATGTTTCACTGCAAGGCAGTGGCAAAAGTCAAAGAAGTTTCTCTTGGATTTCTCCCTTAACCACAGTTCACAAGGGGCATCGCAGAGAATAATGCATTTGGCCTGTGGGTAGGGTCTTGGGTGGGAAGATGGGCAGCTGCTCCTTCGCTTTCTTTCTCCCGGGAGCTTCTGAGGTGGTGGCCTCAGGACTGGCTCAAAGGCACACATGAAAAGCCGCCTTTCAAGCAGCGCTGATCTGGCTCTGCCTTCTGAATCCTTGCTGCTCTACCTTTTCACACCCAGAGCTCCTGCCACAGAAGCAAATATCCACCGGGAGAATCGAGGCGGGAGGCGGGGGGAGGCGGAGAGGCAGCAAGAGGAGGGAAAGGCTAAAGAAAAAAGTCTCTAAAAAGAGACTTAGTGTGCACACCAGAAGAAATTCTCTCCCGTCATGTTCACCGTGCTTCGGTTTCCTGGATTCAGTTTTGTAGATCTGTCCCTTTGGGACTTGTGCTAGCAGAAATGAAAGAAGATGGGTTAAGCCATCACTTGCAGCAGGGCAGTGGGGAGCCTGTGGTGGTGGTGATGTTGTTCGACTCCAGTTCCCACCAGTGGTCAGAGATGATGGAGACAACCACATCTGGAGGTCCATTTGTTGTTGTTGTTGTTGTTGTTGTTTAGTCGTTTAGTCGTGTTGACTCTTCGTGACCCCATGGACCAGAGCACGCCAGGCACTCCTGTCTTCCACTGCCTCCCGCAGTTTGGTCAAACTCATGCTGGTAGCTTCGAGAACACTGTCCAACCATGTCATCCTCTGTCGTCCCCTTCTCCTTGTGCTCTCAATCTTTCCCAACATCAGGGTCTTTTCCAAGGAGTCTTCTCTTCTCATGAGGTAGCCAACATATTGGAGCCTCAGCTTCACAATCTGTCCTTCCAGTGAGCACTCAGGGCTGATTTCCTTCAGAATGGAGTGGTTTGATCTTCTTGCAGTCCATGGGACTCTCAAGAGTCTCCTCCAGCACCATAATTCAAAAGCATCAATTCTTCTCCAATCGTCTGGTCACTGCTGAGTTTTCAGGCTCCCCATTCTTGATTTACAGTGGGGTTTCCCAAACTTGGGTCCCCAGCTGTTTTTGGACTACAATGCCCATCATCCCTGACCACTGGTCCTGCTAGCCAGGCATGATAGGAGTTGTAGTCCAACAACAGCTGGAGGCTGAAGAACTCAGTGGTCCAGCATTTGCTTTGCTAGCAAAAGATCTAAGGTTCAGTCTCCAGTTAAGGCTGAGAAAGACTCCTGTCTGAAACCCTGGAGAGCCACCTAAGAAGAGCTTTGCTGGGTCAGGTTGGTGCCCCATCTATCCCAGCATGCTGTTCTCACAGTGGCCACCCAGATGCCTGTGAGAAAACTGCAAGCAGGACCCAAGCACAAGAGTATGCTCCCCTCCTCTGATTCCCAGGAACTGGCATATTCTGGTTATTCTCACCAAGAGACATATTGCGTCCAACAGTGGAGATAGAACTTAGCCTTAACCTCCATGAATTTGTCTACTCTTTTTGTCTACTCAAGTTGTTGGCCATCACTATCTCTTGGGAGTGAACTCCACAATTTAATTATGCCCTGTGTGGAGAACTACTTTCCTTTATCAGTCCTGAATCTTTCAACATTCATCTTTATTGGATGTCCACAAGTTTTATGAGAGGAGGAGAAAAGCTTTCCTCTCTCCATTTCCTTCGCAGCATGCATAATTTTATGCACTTCTGTCAAGTCTCCTCTTACTTGCCTATTCTCTAAACTCAAGAAGCCCAGTTGCTACAACTTTTCTTCATCGTCCATTTCCTGGAGCATTTTGCTTGCCCTTTCCTGTACCTTTTCAGAAATGCTTAAAGGAATGAATACAATTCAGAGGAAACTGTGTTATATCACATCAGACCTATGGCCCAATCTAGCACAGTGTGGTCTACACCAACCTTCCCCAATCTGGTGCCTTCTACGTAGATCATTAAGACTACAAAGCCCATCAGGCCTAGCCAGCTTGTTCTGATGGAAGCTGACATGAGACTCTAACTGTATACACTCAACTGAACCATGGTGGGGCCTAGACTCAGGTACATAACCACAGAACAATAATAGGAACATGGCTGTCTTATGCTACGTCTTACCATCAGTTCATGTAGCTCAGGGTGGTCCAACACATGGCCCAATGGTCGCATTCAGCCTTCAAGGCATTTTTGACGGTCCTCAGCAACATTTGACACCTCCTCCGGCCTTCACTCTGCCTTCCCAAAGCAGTTAAGTGGGGCGATGGGCTTTGGGATTGAGGTGGGAGGACTCTAGGACCCTCCTGCTTGGACTACTGCAATGCACTCTTCGTGGGACTACCTTTGAAGGTGACTCGGAAACTACAACTAATCCAGAATGCGACACCTAGACTGGTGACTGGGAGCAGCCTCCGAGACCACATAACACTGGTCTTGAAAGACTTACATTGGCTCCCAGTACGTTTCCGAGCACAATTCAAAGTGTTGGTGCTGACCTTTAAAGCCCTAAATGGCCTTGGTCCAGTATACCTGAAGGAGCGTTTCCACCCCCATCATTCTGCCACATCATTCTGGACACTGAGGTCCAGCACCGAGGGCCTTCTGGCGATTCCCTCACTGCGAGAAACCAAGTTACAGGGAACCAGGCAGAGGGCCTTCTCAGTAGTGGCGCCCTCCCTGTGGAATACCCTCCCACCAGATGTCAAAGAGAACAACAACTACCAGATTTTTAGAAGACATCTGAAGGCAGCCTTCTTTAGGGAAGGTTTTAATGTTTAACAGACTATTGTATTTTAATACTTTGTTGGAAGCCGCCCAGAGTGACTGGGGAAGCCCAGCCAGATGGGTGGGGTATAAATAATAAATTCTACTCTATTCTATTCTTCTGGACCATCATGCCTCACTTTGCCAGCTTTGGGAAGGCAGCATGAAGGCTGGTGGGAGTGTCAAATTTTGGCCTCGCTCCCCTTTCTGCATGACAAGGCAACGTGCAGCCTGCAGGTTGTGTGTTGAAGTACTCTTGTGGCCCACTTGCTATGAAAAGTCGGGCTGCTCTGATCTAGCTCATTGTTGTCTACCCTGACTGGTCATTGCTCTCCAGGGTTTCAGGCAGAATACTTCCACGGCCCTATTGGAGATGTCAGAGATGAAACCTGGGTCCTTTTGCATGCTCAACAGCCTCGCTTCCCCAAACTCAGTAGCAACTCAACCCCCCCATGAATGCATTTGGTAGCCTCACCTCAGTCTCTCAGTCCTAGGCCTAAATGGAGCCTAATTTCTGCCCTCCCTTCCCCACAGGTGGGCGGGGTTTGTGGCACCGAGCAGGAGCTCACCTGGGCAGGTGCCTCCCACCTCCTTGGGCCGGCCTTTGACCCGCCCTTGGCCAGGGAGGCCAATGGACGCCGGTCGGGGGTGGGTCTAAGGCCAAAAGAAAAGAGACTAACTCTGTTGTCCAAGCCTCTTTCGCTGTTCCAGGATCACCCACCCTCCCTCAAATTAATAATTTCTTGCCTCCATAATTTCATCCTAGGTCAGTGGTCTTCAAGTTAATGATTCTTTTCCTTACAGGCTAATATTTTGTGTTGCATGTCAGCAGGCACTGCTGCAGCCGTAAGATGGTTGCTGTATTCAGAACCAGGAAGGAATTTTCCCTTCATTGGCAGGTTTCGCCTTCCCCGTAGCATTTTGTCACAACTTTGGCGGTTTTAGGCCTTGGCAAGGTATCCTTTAGTCTAACATCAAGTCGGGGGGTGCATTCATGCTCCCTCCCCATGCGGCGACGCTTGCAGGGCCCGTTAAAGGGCAAAACCAGGAGTCCCTGGCCCTAGAGCGGCGGCATGTAGGTCAAACTCCCGGAACAAGGTTAGTGGAAGGGCATGCTGTGTAAGTTTGCACTTTGCAGTCCCCTCTCACTGGACCTCATCTGCCTGCATATCCTCAGCCAGGCGGGCTGAGAGGGTTACCTGCCAAGGCCTGTGCCATGTTTCCCACTTCTGAAGCTCAATAAAGTTGTGGCCAATTTGAACCCATACTCTGGTCTCTTGTCTCATTCTCTGGGGAAAAGGGGTAGGCACCACAGACAGGGTTTAGTGCGTGTGCCGGCAAGCTCTTTTTAAGCTTGTATGTGAGCATTGCCTTATCTCTGTAGCTGTTTAGGGCTAATGATTCTTTGAAGGGAAAACAAGCAAAGGCGCTCTGTAGTTGTGTTCTTCATTCTTTTCCCATTCCCTTCCGTTGCTAATTGGAGGTACTTGCCCAGCCCGATTTGCAACCGGTGGCACTG